GCCTGGCACCCATATCATTCGCACTAGATGAATGTTTGCTGGGATTAATGATTTAAAAGTCTCTAGTACTGCTGATGTCGACGACGATGATAAGAATGAACACAAGGAATACGAGTCAGTCACTATCACAGCTGTCGAATGAGTCACAGGAAGTTTACGAATAGCTAGTATAACAGCCGTTAATTCCGCTTCAAGTAAGCGTACTTCTAAGACAGGCCTAGTCCGCTTCTTCTTCTTCTTCTTCTTCTTCTTCTTCTTCTTCTTCTTCTTCTTCTTCTTCTTCTTCTTCTTCTTCTTTTCTTCTTCTTCTTCTTCTTCTTCTTCTTCTTCTTTTCTTCTTCTTCTTCTTCTTCCTTCTTCTTCTTCTTCTTCTTCTCTTCTTCTCTTCTTCTTCTTTTCTTCTTCTTCTTCTCTTCTTCTTCTTCTTCTTCTTCTTCTTCTTCTTCTTCTTCTTTTCTTCTTCTTCTTATTATTATTATTATTATTATTATTATTATTATTATTATTATTATTATGGCTCTTACCCAATTCAGGGGATCGGTCGAGTGTTAGGTGAATTTGTTTTTTTTTGTTTCTTCGCAATGCTACTCGTATATCACCCAACCACACAGTCCAAGCGCCGGCTCCACTACTCTTCTTCCGCACCCCGTACGCTCGCGCATCTTCGTTGCAATATATTGAGAGCCGATACATCACCTTTGAATATTGTGTCTCATGCATCACATTTAGCTTAAAATTTTCTATTGTGCTTTCTTTCGCTCATAAAAACAGCGCAAAAACAACACATGAACAACAGGCATTTGTCCGAACAACTAACTTGTCCGACTTACTAACGGTTTCAGCTTTGTCTGCCTCTGAAATGTCAAAACTATTGAGTTGAAAAGCACTCCTGTTTGTATGCTTAATCGCAGCTCACAAAGCCGCCATAATCAGACTCCAACATTCAGGTTTGAGCAGCTAAATGTGCTGTCTAAGTATGCCAGCAATAATGTATTGGATGATAGAGAAACTTGTTTGAAAAATAAAGTAATGAAAAAAGAATCACACCAAATACAATTTGGCAGCATGCTGTCTTCTCAAGCGGCACCTACCCAAATATAATTTGTAGCCACCTTATCAGAAAACACGTCTCTTTTCAATCTCTTCACCACGTCTGGCAAACTAACCTCACCAAACTTTTTCCAACGTGTTTTCTGCAAAAGCAACAGAACTCAACACTTGCGCAGAGAGGCGACATGCTTTAAATTGACCCAGCGAATAAATTACACAAATGCATTTCAGAGCTCAAGATTTTGAATTTAGATTCGCACGTCTGTTTGTCATTATAGGATTGTGTCTTGAAAGTCTCAGCAGTTTGATACTTGTGCAACTTTATCCACTATTTCACAAAAACAGTCCCCTCCCCCAACTTCCCTAAACCTGCAAAAGTGAGATTAGGTTTTTTTTTTTTCAAATTCATCTGCGCACCTTTCTCAGCGCCAGTCACGAAAAGCATTGAAGTGAAAGCTTGTTAATTTTACTGTTACGGTACCAGCAAAATTATCCGAATTAAAGAAATGCTGAACTACCGAAAGTACCAAGAACACATCAAACAACTTTATTACAGATTGCTTTTTCATTTCCACGATGTACACGTAAATCTAGTGCCTACTTTGCATAAGGGCAGTGTAAAAGCTGCCACTTTTGTCATTCGCAACATTCATCACGTGGGTGTGGCTGAAGACCGCTGTCTTCATCGAAAACTTGATCTAACCTCTACCACAATTAAGCGCATGAAACATTTCTTTTGCCAGAATTGGCTGCTGATTAATGGAACACTGATTATTGATCCAGATAAATTCCCTACAACAGCACAGAACACCTACTTGACAACAGCCGAAAAGCCTGCGGAGAGCGACGATATTGCGACGCTAGCTGCGACACCTTCTCTAACATGGCACCGAAGCCCCGCCGCGGTGGTCTAGTGGCTAAGGTACTCGGCTGCAGACCCGCAGATCGCGGGTTCGATTCCCGGCTGCGGCGGCTGCATTTCCGATGGAGGCGGAAATGTTGTAGGCCCGTGTGCTAAGATTTGGGCGCACGTTAAAGAACCCCAGGTGGTCGAAATTTCCGGAGCCCTCCACTACGGCGTCTCTCATAATCATATGGTGGTTTTGGGACGTTAAACCCCACAAATCAATCAATCAACATGGCACCGAAACGAACGTGCCCACAATACACCTGCGGGTATCTTCTTTTGACGCATCGTAAACAAAGTTCTAAGACGATGAATTTACGTCTGTATTCACTCTGAGACCTTTGAGAGTTCTTGACGTCCGCAATACCGCTGTACAAAGGCTGAACTACGAGCTCAGGTCATGAAGGGGGTAGAAATCACGTGCGTCACTTGCGCGTGCACAGCTGCTTAGAATAAAAAAAGGCAAAAGAACACAAATACGGCAAATGGTTCTGCTAAAATTTAGTAAATGCAAAGTTCATATGTTGTATTTACCAACAAAAATCTCATAAGTTCATTACTGAAATCAAGTAACATTTGTATAAGTTTTTGCTATATTTCAGGTTTTTAAAGACTTATGAAATGACGCGGTGTTCAAAAAAAGTTTATCAGAATTTTTCCCATTCACTAACGCGCACATCTTTCTCGTTTTGAAGACGTGGAATCGCAATTGAATACGGAATCTGTATGCTGAAAATATGCTGCGTCATTATTATTTATAAAATTTTCCGTTATTTATATTTTACTCATCTTCTTTACTTCACTCTACGATCATCTATGAGAAAAGCAAAATGTAGCTACTCTCATTTTGTGTGGGATGGGCGCCAAGCCGCAGTAAGAAGCAGCTTGAGGACACAAAATACGCACGGGACTATATTTTGTACGAATGTCTGATACAGGATATGTTTAGGATATCTCTTGTGGGACATATTTAACTCAAATCGTAATGGGTGTACATTTGCTATCCTTCACAGGTCTGCTGATGTTTACATATGTTCGCAGTTGTTTCGGATGTCCAACGGATATTGTGTTTTCGTTGAGTTTTGTGCTGATAGCTCTCGCATGCGAAGAAAGTACACTGGTGCCAAGGTGAACTTTTGTAGGCACGATAGTTGATATGTGCCGTTTAACGTCCCAAATCCACCTTATGACTATGAGAGATGCCGTAGTGGATGGCCCCGAAAATTTCGACCACCTGGGGTTCTTTAACGCGCACCCAAATGTAAGCACATGGGCCTACAGCATTTTCGTAAGCGCGATAGTTGGCGTCGCGCTTGAACACACGCAGTAAGGACACAAAATTACTCGTGCATATTGATTAGGCTCGGAGTCTTTTCTTGACAGCATTTATCCATTGGCGTCGAGTCTCGGCGCTTTTTGTTGCGGATGGAAATCGGTTAAAGAAGAAAACACCGCACCAGCACGATTCCCGCGATTCGCTGTCAACTTCACCGGCAGTGCTCAGCAAGCTTTTCTTCTTGCGCTGGCTTTCGCAACCGAAGGCGGTGCACCCAGATGACTTCTTATAAGCGGGCGCAGAGGCACTTTATCGCATCTTGATGTCCCAGAGCCACGGCTTGGCTTGCTAGCGAGGTACACCTTGGGAGTTCAAAGCAAATCATGTCGTCTCTGGGAGCTAGAGCATACCACTAGAGGCGCCTGGGTGCGAGATAGGCGTGCTGTCGTCTATACTTAGGCGCCGTCAATGGAAGTTGGCCTACGTAGCGCTATCTAGTGACACCATCCTCGCCAGCAAAAGCGTTGCATTTTAGCTTGCCGCTTTTGGTGTTTGTCAAACCGATGTTGCTGTTGGCGTCAATACGCCATTGTGAACTGGTTTATAAAAAATGCCTCTCTGTGCGACAACATACACGTCTGTGAGTACAGCATTTGTGCGTACACATGCTTGCCGTCATTTTGTTAGGTTTCGCTCAAGGAAAAAATTTGCCGGAGTTGTATTCCCTTAGGATGCTTCGCCTTACATCGATTCTCGTGGCATGTGGCATCTGCCAAATTTTTCATTTTATTTATTTTATCGGTGGTACGGGCAAGCCAGCTCTACGGGACGAGGCTTTTTCAGAACACAATTAGCTATACAGCTGCTTCATGAAGATTCACCCGCAGAAAAGTAAATCAGTAGATTTTTTAATGCGGGAATCAAAATTATAAATATTGTTTGGGTTTAACGTCCCCAAACTACTATAATATTATGACAAATGCCGTATGGGAGGATTCCGGAAAAATTTTGACTGCCTGGGGTGCTCTAACGTGCTCCTAATCCAAGTACAAGGGCGTCAAGCATCTTCGCCTCTATCGAAAATGCAGCCTCTTGGCTATCCACGAATTAGTAAATCACAAAAAAGCATATAAAAGAATTGACTCGTATGACAGTACCGTCTACTTCCTCGCAACGTATCCCATCATACCTTGCGTCCCCACTTTAACGTCCGCTCGCACGCTGGAAGAGGATCCGCGCTTCATGGGCTCCGGAGATTGGTGCAACAGAGGCTGACTATGAAAAGAAAATACGCAGTGCAGTTTTATGGTTCAATCGAGAATAGATCAGCAGCGGAAAACTATACGGATACTAGCGAGTAATTAAAAAAAAACTATTGTCCACATTTAATGTGCGATCGCTTCACTGTAACGTCCCTGTGACCTCATGTGCATGCGTGCGTGTGTGTGTGTGTTTGTGTGTGTGTGTGTTTGTGTGTGTGTGTGTGTGTGTGTGTTGACACATTAGTTGACACCTGGTGCTCTCAGTGTCTGCCTCTGTTTGCGCGTATTATTAGTGCGCTGTAGCGACTTTCTGCGGTGCCATTCACAATAATGCAACATAGTTTTCTACGCCTGACTCAAAAGAGCACAGTTGTTCGTCGCACACATAAAAAAGAAAGGAAACCGTAGAGATGTCGTTTCGGCGCTTATCTGCACTTGTGAGAGCGTCTCATGCTGTAATCGTTATCAGCTTTTGACCGCGGGCAACTGGCAGTTGAGACTGCGAACAGACATTCAGCGCAGCCTACCATTATGCTGTGAGTAGACCCATCCTTTGTCAATCCGTTCCGCTAAAGTGCATCGCGCGTGATGGAACGCCACTCGTGTGGAGGCATTAGCCAGTCGAGTTATCTAAATACAATTCGTGAATGAAACGTGTGCACATAGGCATAAGCTCTTCACAGTTTTACCGTCAAACAGAATCAGTATAGTTACACGCAACATTCCAAAGCGTGCCCGGACGATCATTCGGCTTTGCGAATGACGTTGGGAAGGCAAGAACATCACCGAGCGTGGGCTACCATAGGTAGAAAAAGCACTCGAACCAACTGTGATGAGGTCAAGGTTTATTACCAGCACACTCTCTCAAACACAGTCTCGCACTTTCAACATGTGGTTACGCTTAGCCTTCAGTCGCGACATGAAGTCACTGCCGCGTATTGAACGATGGCGAGAGTTGCCCGATGTAGCCTCCTACTTTTGATGTTCGCGGGGTGGCAGGCTGCAATCTGAGTAATGTAATATAAGTGCCTGAAGAACTGTTGGGATGAATGATGAAATGCAAAGAAAACACCTACTTACGAGGCGTTTCGCTGCAAGATTCGTATTGATAAGACTGCTGCCGTAGCCTTACAGTTAAAAGGCCACTGACCAGCTATAAATATTTGAGCTAACAAGCGCAATGCGTACATGAGGCGTTCGCGATCACGTCTGTCGAAATTTGCAATGCTACGCGTAGCAGAAATGGGTCGAATTTCAAAATCAGCGCGGCTCTTCCTTACTTTCGCGGGCGCGTGCCCAGAGAATTTGAGCATGACGTAGGTACACGTAAAGGTTCTTTCACATACCGCGGCTGCAGTGAAAAAAAAAAAAAAAAACTGTTCCGTTCCCTCCAATCGCTTGGTTCGCAACCGCCGCTCATGGCGGCTTTGTTTCACATGTTCCGCGTACGGCTTGCTGATTGATTGATTGATTTATGGGGTTTAACGTCCAAAATCACGGAAGGATTATGAGAGACGCCGTAGTGGAGGGCTCCGGAAATTTCGACCACCCTGGGTTCTTTAACGTGCATTCAAATCTGAGCACACGGGCCTACAACATTTCCGCCTCCATTGGAAATGCAGCCACCACACCCGGGATTCGATCCCGCGACCTGCGGGTCTGCAGCCGAGTACCTTAGCCACTAGACCACCGCGGCGGGGCAACGCGTACGGCTTGCGATTTTCGCTCTTCGACTGGAGCGGCGAACTACGTTTCTTGCCACTGTTCTTTGTGGCGGACACTGTAGAATTTTTTAAAATATAATGTAACAATCTCTGCGTTGCGATTACATGAGCGGTAATGAACAGCAGTTGTGTTTCGTAATTTAAAACACTTTCTATGCTAACTACACTCTAAAGTGCGCAATATCTGCCATTACCAAAACAAACACGTAGACGTAATTTTGACAGCTTGGCCGGCCCGGCCCTATTTCGATGGGATGTGAATGGAAGTCGCTCCCGCCACTGCGATAAGAGCGAAAATTTCCAACTTGTTGAAAGCTCACCGCGGACGATTGCGGCAAGAGTGAACTGCCCCTTTTTTCGCTGCGAGCGAATTCGCAGACTGAAAATCGGTACTTTTTGTGTCATTTTAAACGACCTTAAGAATTGCCCTACGTACACAGCAGTGCTGTGTATAGTGCTGTGATGGTGGTCCTCTGCATAGACGAGTTTGCTCTGACGTTGCCAACAGTAGCTCGTGACACGGTGAAAATTATTTAAAACGACATGTGTCGTTTGTGTATTTGTTGCTTGAATAGACGAACAAAACTTGAGATAAATAATGAGATGCAATAAGAGAATGTGCGCGTCTTTTCCGTTTTCCCACCTTGAATTCCAACGAGATGCGGGGCTAAGGTGCTGGCGTTTCGCATGCGCTGGTGTCCGCGGGGTTAGCGGATGAAGTAAACGCCTCGTACTGGAACATAAATTAATGGTCGTGCGCGTTCGGGCACTGATTATTCTCTATCTATTCTACCACGTGTAAGCCAGCATTTCCAAACCATCCCACAGAAACAGGCAGTAGACCACAAGATAACGCTGGTCAACAAAACGATGCCACTCGCGTGCTCGGGCGTTGGGCTTGTTCAAGCACGTCATGCGCACTTGACCTCTTGGTCGTACGCCGGAAAGGGTACGGAAGAGATTTGTATTGTGAAAGCTGCGTGGGGTGAGCGGCAAGGGTTTCGAGCTCACCTCTTCGCATCTTCCTTTCGCGCCACTTAAAATGTTTTCTCATATCTCATTGAACCGATTGGAAAAAAAAAAGTGTGGCATAATTCTCTTCACCGGAAACAAAACAGCTTCCACGGTCTAACTAAAGGTTGTTATGGGGCCCGGTAAGTGGCCCTTTAAGTGTTCGGCATGGCTGTGCGTGATGGCGGGCTCGAACCGCGCTGCCTGACGACCACTGGTCAAACGAGTGCAAAAGATGTGAAATCAGTAAAGTGTATCCCTTCTTTGGAAAACTCTCGCCATCGCTTAGTGCGCAGCAGTGACTTCGTGGCTCGGTGAACGATCAAGCATGATGAAAATGCCAGATTGTGTCGGAGCAAAACTGTATAAGGTATGGCCTTAGTGCCACCTCACCGAAATAAGTTTATCAAGTGAGACGTTAGGAAGCCATGCAGATTCTTTTTTTAGACCTAATCTTTATTAACATGCATACGTTGTATATTTTACTTGGCTTTTCAAAGGTAAACAAAAAATGGCCAACCTTACATTAAGAAAACAGGCTATTTAAAGGTTTTTAGGACATCATGTACTCTCACACGTGAAGGGCATCGTGAAGGCGACAGAGAAAACACGCGAGTTTGAGGCTGTGTGCGGCTGAATCAGTGGAGCAGTGGTCGGTGTGCGAGGCACCAGAGCGATGTGAGTGACTAGATGACCGACCTCGATAGACTATGGACAACTTCTCGGATGCACGATGGATGTTCTGTGCCAGATATTCGAAAATCCTCTGGGCATCCACATGTATCCCAATGAAGTCGGCTGGATGTCTGGCGGACCGTCCCGAACAAACAAAATAAGAACAGGTGCTAAATCGGACGTTGTGTACAAGTATCTCTCCGACGTTCAGACGCCCACTGGATTTGCGAATTTGGATATAAACGTCCGAGAGACACTTGTCGGATTTTACATGTGGAAATCTGTGATATGTCTGAAATTTCTGAATCCTCAATGCAAAACTTGCATGTATCCTTTGGTTTCACGACAACAAGCGCAATATCTATTTAACATTTGTCACTATTTCCGTTAATAAACATTGCACGTTCTAAGTATATTTAGGCTAGTTTGAAGGCATGTAGACACGGTTGTCAAATATTTATGATGACCGCACACTGATTTAGCTTACTTGAGTATATTGAATGGGCTCCTGTAATTACGTGTTTTGAGCTGATTGTGTCAGCCATTCAACCTTTACCTGTAAGACGTTCCTACAATTTCTACAGGTACTTAAGGAGCACATCAAATAGGTTATACACGCCTGGTGCATATGTAGCTGGCTGTACGGCTTCTAAAGCACCGGAAATGTTTAAGTATGAGTTGATTTTGTTTGGCGTATCACTCCAGCCATGGTTCAGTTTTTTTCCCTGCTTTAAAGATGAAGCTCTACTCGGGAATGAGAACCACATTTGCATGCACTATTCATAGCTCGCTGTACTGAATTCTGTTATGATCACTACACTAGTGAGTGCTCCAAGGCAACTAGAGGAGTGCCTCACTGGCAGAAGTTCCATGAGTGAGAACAGAGCGCAATATCCGCAGCAGCAGCACATTCGACATCCGTAGCGTACCTGGCTAATTCAACACATTCAGAGAGACCGACGAGCGGCCAGTATATCAAATGCGCTTATGGATTGTCCGCAGTGCTAATTCTTATATATACCAACCCTGATTTTACCGTGAGAGGAGGATCTATATGTTTAATTTTTATTGAAAGCCGAAAAAAGTAACATTTAGTGCCTGGGGCGCCAAAAAATATGAACGGTAGGAAGTAGCGCGTCACGTAATCGTTGATCGATGTACGTGGTCAACGTTTTTTTGTTAGTATTGAACTAGTGGTAGTTTTTTATATCAAAAGATATTACTCCATAAAGATGTACCTGCATGCTTTCTTTGGTAGTCTGCATTAAAGTAGTGCTGCCTTCGCGTGACGTAATCACGCCATGTTGGTCAGCCTGTGTGTAGCAACTTCAGCGTTCTCACGCAACTGTGCACGCAGTTAACAGGTCACTCGGATTTTGGAGCAACATAGTATTGCTACCTACACTTTTTGCCTCAGAAATGGAGCGCGCTGCTACTAGGTGCGGTCGTGCTTACGCGTAGGGACGTTTTCAGTGACTTGGCTAGGCTCGCGTATCGAGAGAGTAACGGCGTCGGGATAAGCCACTCGTGACGCAAGCGCACACAACGAAGTACAAATACAGAGAAGGTGTAAAAAGCCCAATAATCTGATTGTAACAGCTTGTTTAAAAAAAATTAGTTCAAAAGCTTTATATAAAAGATGCTCGGCATAGCTACAGGAACTCCCGCGAAAGCAGAATGATAGCTTTTACAAATCGCAACAAAGGCTAGCAGCATGGCCATTAATGTTGAGCGTTGCTGAAGCAAAGGTACGCCCATGTCTACAGTTCTCTATACAGAGAAATAGTGCTTATAAAACATCATCTCAGTCTGATTACGTGCACTGCAGGGCAAATGCCTCTCACATGATCCGCCAACCAACTTGGTCTTGTTTTATACCAACTAATACCTGCAAACCTTTATTGCGATAGGAATTATGTGGACACTCTCGGCTGATTTTTGCCTTCGCCGTCATTCCCGAACACACACACACATATATATACATATATATATATATATATATATATATATATATATATATATATATATATATATATATATATATATATATATATATATATATATATATATATATATATATATATATATATATATAGAAATCCAAGCAAGGAAATCTGCAAAGATGG